TATATATATATATATATATATATATATATTCATCCCCATCTTTTTTTAAATATATCCTTCAGACTGGGCCATCACAGTACTTCCGATGATAGTACTGCATATCGATCGACTGACGAAATAAATCATTGGAATTATCATACACCAATAAGCAGATACCGTGATTATTTAGAGTCAACTGGATTGTGGTGTGATCAAAGAGATAGGGAATTTAAAAAATGTGTAAGAAATTCCATTTTACTTGCTTTAACTGAAGCAGAAAAAGAACTTAAACCATGTTGGAAAGAATTATTCACAGATGTATATTATACAATGCCAAAGCATATACGGTATGTTTGTAAATTTCAGATTAAATTAATAATATATTACCCTATTTAAAATATTCAATAGATAAATGTTTGAATTTCTTACATTATTTCCTTTTAATTTCAGTAAACAAATGCATTCAATGGAAAACCATGTTATAGAATTTCATAAACATTATCCATTACATCTTTTTGAGCATAATAATAATAATAATAGTAATAATAATAATGATAATAATAATAATAATAATGATAATAATATGCTGAGCATAAACAAGAGTGAAAATCTTCTGGGGACCCACAAACAATGATACAATAATAATAAAAATAATGAATTTAATAAATGAATACATTGAAATGATAATAACAAACTAAATTAATTATATTTACCAATGTATACTGTATGTATTATGTATTTTTTATACCATTAGATAATAAAATAATTACAAACTCTTTAAGGATTCATGTTAGCAGCGATTTCTTTATATTTTTCCATTCTATAGCTTTTTTTGGCTGCATCAAGTAATATATTGTGAAGTAGCTCATGCTTATATGGATTGATTTGTTCTATGACAGGATACACATTTCCTAAAATTTACAGACTTACATTAATTAATTCTTATAATCTTCTACAAATACATAAATGAAGAAAAATCTTGCTTAAGACACACCCTTTAATTCTAAAACAGCTCTTTCATATCCATATCCAGGATATATATATGGTGCATTATGAAGTTTTGTAAATGAAGTTGTATAATTTTGATATCTTGGTACAAGCACTTTAAAAAGTTTATGAATAAGTTGTTTCTCTAATATCCAAAAATTTGCTAGTTCCATTGTTTCTTTATTATCAGGACCATAACGTAATGCTTCCGATATTAACTACGATGAAGGAAATATAAAGTGTAATTTTTATAAAATAACATCGAATGATTTACATGATACTCACTCGTTCCACGTAACCCCTTGTCTCATCTGCTCTCGCATAATTCAACTCAATTCTTTCATACTTAATTACGGCGGTTAATGTCTTCCTTATTTTATGCAATCTACCTTCTGGACCATTTTGATTTTTTAATTTACGTGGTTTTGATCCAACATTGTACCTTAACCTAGAAACTAGTTTTTCAACATTTGCCTGATTCATTATTGTTATTTTTTGTATTTGATACTAATTTTCACTTCTTGTTAGATGGATATATTATTATTATTATAACTATATAGTTATATAACCGTTATTGTAAAATTTGTATGAAATTTTTTATTTTATTATTAAGGGATATACTGGCTTCCAATGTTCGTTTACACTACTTCGTCAATATCGAATTACATACCATTATACTACTGTATTAGATATTACTGTTAATACTTGTTAATAATTTATTACGTTGTACATTTAATTGAATTTTATTTTATCAAAAAAGGGAAGTGGATTTGATCTACAAGTAAATATAATCTTCACTTTTATGATCTATTGTTACTGAAATATTTATCATCGGTCATATTAGTGAATTTTAATATTTCTTTATGTTCAAAAATTTTTAATTTTACTAATTTTATAATTTAGTATTATAGTAATATTAATTATAATAATAAAAAACACTGATCTAAACGGAGGAAATAAAAAATTTGTTAAGTTATATGATAAAATTGCCTTATGTAATTTTTTTTAAATAGTATTTAAAGCAATTAGTTACATAATTATTAATGAAAAACATGATAATAGGATAATTTATTTGCACATAAAAATATTTGAATAATTCAATACTCCATCTAATACAATAGTTATAAAAAATGTAGTTACTAAAAGAATATAAATTGTAAATGAACAATGAATGTGTAAAAACGCGAAAAGAATCATTTCTACTATACTCTACTATTGATTATTAAATAAATGTCAATATAATGGCTTTTTATTAATAATAACATAATTAAAATGTATACAATTTAGAGGTAAATAAATACTAGAAACATTTATTCTTGATTGGAATTAATAAATAACATAATTAAGTATATTTAGTGAATAATTTTTATTTTTCTTACTCTTACAGTCATAAACATTTTCCCGTCGAACAAACATTTTATAACACAAAATGACAAAGGAATGTTTGATGAGTGGAATGAAACAATATAACTGAATAGTCAAATGTTTTAGATCAAATTAATTCAAAATAGTGTTTCAATAAATTTTAATTGATAACAAGAGATCATAATAGCGAGGTGACTGAATTTAATCAACTTACTTTGGTGAATCTAACGTAATGATAAAAGGACACATGTTTTAGTGTTTGTTTATTAGAAAATTTCATTAATTCAATCGCAGGGGTACAACGCATATACATAAACATCTAATGAGTGACCAAACACGTGTTCTCTTATTTTCGTTAGTATTTTTAAATAGTGCTATTTATAGAAGATATTGAAATATACTTGTAGTATATGTTAATATATATTGTTTCATTGTACTTGCATTAGAATAAGAGATTATATATATGTAGAATTACATTTTAATCTATGATGTTAGTAAAATGTGTCAATAAACAATTACCTTTTTAAATTTAAAATATTACAATGATAGTGAAGATTACATTTATCTGCTTTCTGATTAAATATGAAATCACTGGTATTATTTATTATTGTATGTCTGTTAAGATTTAAAAAATCGTATTATCCGCACTACATATTGTTTACATATTGGACATTCCGACATTTGTTTACCACAATTTAGACAACAAACCATATGGCCGCATTCCAAAATCACGCATTCAATTGGTTCATCCCAACAAACTTTGCAAAGATTTTCATCCAAAATTTCCATTTCCGCTGATAATATAATAATATGTATAAGTTTAAAATTCTTCCATATTAAAAATTAGTCAAATAGGTAAATAGGTAAATATTTCATAAAAAGAAATCATATCTTACCTGTCCTCGACTGTTCATATTCTTTCCACAATCTGGAAGCTTTATTCAATAATTCACATCTTTCTATGCAACCTTTATAATCAACTCTATTTGTACTTAATAAATTCTTCAATTGCTTTACACTTAAATGCTCCAGTTCTGATAATGTATTTATGTCTGACAGTTTGACAGGATTCTGTATTGAAAAGAAGAGACAGAATGAAGGAAAGTGACATAAACAAAAAATAGTGATATGTATGGCTATTGTTATGACAAAAGTAATTAACAAAGTAATTGAAAAGTTTCAAGGCCATGGTTACATACCATAGGACTTTTTATAGATACACAAGAATGTTGATTATTAGCTATGTTTGAAATTTTTTCTTCTTCTTGATGTATGGGCTCTGTTCTTTCATCCGAATAAATGTTAATTCCAGAAATTGTTCCTGGAATTTCATTACAGTCACTTCGTGTAGCATTGGTTTCATGCACATAATTCGGAACTTGTCCACTATATTCGTGGTTTCTAGTTACTGATTGATTTGGTTGAGAATTACTACTGAAATTAAAATTGAATGAAAAAGATTTGTTTAATTCATTTTACTTTACTAAATGTAATATAAGTGCATGGATCTTGCTTTATTTCTTTTCTTGTTATTAAAAAAAAATATATTTATACTGTGCAGAAAACTTGTAGAAAATTGTAGATAAGCATAACATGATCTATGGCATTTACTAATTAATATTAATATTGTAACATTACATATTTTGCATATAAAAGCATTAAAGTACTTTTGTGACAAAATCTTACACATTCTCTCTTCTTGTATTTTCTGTACTTTCTGTATTCCAATAATTATTATTACCATTAGCAAATGTCATTAACAATTTAATTAAATCTTCTTTTTCTGTAACCAAAATAAAAGGGATAGTTGTTGTCAATAAATATAACAACAATATATCTTTTACAGTACAAAAATGTTGATTAATAATATTAAAACTTCAAAGTCTTCTTTACTATATAATAATATACATACCAATACAACCTTTGATGGGTACCTTTTTTGCTAATAGATATTGTCGCATGTCTTTAGAACGAGTTTGTACTATTAGACTTCGTATTAGAGGTCTCCGTGATAACATATTACAACTATCACAGCTCAGTATCTTGTCTAATCGCTTGATCACACATTCAGAACAAAAATATCTTAAACAATCCATACATTGTTTCTGAAAATATTTTGCAATAAATATAAAATACTTTTAAATACTTAAAATATTTTTTATATATTTTGGATAATAAAAAAGCATACATAACACAATGGTTCTTACCTTGCGCGTGAAAAAGCTAAATTTTACATTACAAGCTTCACAAGCCATGTTGTTTTATAAGAATAAAACAATAATAGAAATATTCGTCAGCAATTAAAAATTAAGAGGTTAAATATGTACAAGAAGACGGAAATATTTATACCTTTTTTAAACGCTATAAATATCAAAAGGCAAGGATGTTAAAAAAGAGCAATATCAAAATATGCTACCTTCATATGATGTACTTTCAATGTGTTTTAAGTCATTGCAACTTGATAATTAGAGACATATCAAATTCGTAAGAGGTAATAAAATTTAGTAAAATTCCCTAAAGATTTTATTAAAGATGGCGACAAATGAACATAAAATCACTAAATAAAGGTTGTATTTGCTATATATGAATTGTTTATCACATTTTTAGTATTGAAAATATAATTTATCTATGGACATATTATCAGTATCAAAATTTGTGAAGTGTGTATGTATGTATGTATATAAAAGTAAATAGCTTTCACTCAATTTTTATCTATTTTACATATTTACAACTTTTTTATATTTCGTATTAATTGATTTTTTATTATGTATTTAATTTATTGACGATCCATGTACATATATATATTCTACTACGCGAAATAATTGTAACTTTTTTCGTTACATATATATTTAAGTGTTATTTATAAAATCATTCATTGAAACCATTAATTACTCTTGAAATATATGTTTGTACTTGTCACTACAGTTACAAATAATTAAAAATTCTTCATTTATTACAGTATATATAACTGTATGTAAGACTGGCAAAAATTAATTGTTTTACTATGAATAAATTTATATAAAACGTAGTTGTTTATGTCTCAAATTACAAATAAAAAATTGAATATGTGAAATACTAGGAAAGATCACAAAGAGTATATGCGTATTCGATCGAATGTACATTACTAAAATAAAATACGAGATAGAAATATGATATCACAATTATTAATATTAAATTGAAAGCTATTTTTCATTTATTATGACATAGATTAATACGAAATGATAATTTATAACACAAATAATATAAAATAATATGAACAAATAAATTACTAAACATAATATGGCGATAAAAGTCATGTATACGCATATACGCGACATAGGCCACAATAGTGACGTAGGTATATATATATCTATGTATGCATGTATTTGGTTTTCTCGTAAATCGAGAAAGCGCAAATTTTTCAAGTTTCCCAATTTTGCAATTTTAGAGAGTAGTGATTGATGTCGAATAATTGTTTTCGATATTTTAACCTTTTCATTTCTGAACAAGGAAAAGTGTTTCAAAGGTATCACATACATGTATGTATGTATGTATGTATGTATGTATGTATGTGTGTGTGTATGTGTGTATGTATGTATGTGTGTATGTGTGTATGTGTGTATGTATGTATGTATGTATGTATGTATGTATGTATGTATGTATGTATGTATATATGTATGTATGTATGTATGATGTATGTATATGCGTACGTATGTACGTTTGTATACATGTATGAGCAAAGTTGATTACAATTTTTCTTCGACTTTTAAATGTACGACGTAGTAGTTCCGAACGTTTTTATTTACATTGATGGATGTATCGTACGTTTAAAGTTCTGAGAAAATTGAGTATCTCTTCTTGTTCGATCTATTGACTGAATCGAAGGAAAATATCGATATCTTTTTTGTTCTATCCCGTCTGTTTCAGCACTTGCATCATTTTCATGAAAAGCTTCTTTTCTGAAAAGTAAAAAGTGACACAACTGATAATTTATAGAATAAATGTATCAACATGCGCCGTGATATGAAATGATTTGTCATAATTATTCATTAATATTTACATACGTATATTTATTCTCCGATGCACGAAATAATGATTTTGGACAATCTTTAAAGTAAGGCCAACATTCTCCATGAAACTTGCCTCTATTTTCAGCTTCAACATATTCTTTCAAAAGATTCGAAAATGGTGATTTACTAGCACTGAAAATAGAATCACACGTAGTATGGAATTATCTTACTTTTAAAATCAAAACTTGGCGGACTCTATAATACGTATAATAGGAAAGCAAATGAAAAAGAAATATATATATCTGTGTATGTATGTAGGGGAAAGTGCTCACGTGAAAAACAGTTTAAGCATCTCGCCGATCAAACCGAAATTGCTTAAGGGATGTCCCTGTACTTCACAAATTGCCCTTAACAGACAGGCTTTTCCATTTAACCCGAAATTTGCAAGCATATCCTCAGCGGTACCGTACAAAAGGGCTCTTTCACCTCCATAAAGTGCATTCTTTGGCAAATCTGCAATTGCTTCTCTCTTGCTGATTGCACGTTTTACGAATGTTGCGATAAATTCTGCAGCATTCGGTCCTTGTTCCCTTGCAGTAGCATCAAACGCCGATGGTAAAACGCCGTAAGGGTTCTCATTATCGGTTAAACCAAGTTTATCGAAATCGACTGTAATAAAAAGAAGAAAAGAAACAAGTGATTGAAATTGAAAGATCAGTATATTAGACACAAATAGCGGAAAAGGTAAGCAGGAAGGGAATGTTACGGGAAAAGAGAGTGTGAGAGAGGGAAAAGTGTTGATAAGTATAAAGTAAACGAGGTAAAGAGACGAAAATGAGAAATTAAGCAAATCATTTACTCACTGGTAAAGGGAAGGCTAACAGTCATGTTACTAAGAAAACCATAGGGAGGATATCTGACAAATGGTAATGCCAGTGTTGGAGTTATTGTCATTATCGTGCCTGGTGGCAAAGCTATTCGACCATCGTTAGTTATCCAAAATAATCTCTTCTGTCGATGGTGAGAGAACAAATGTTCATTATTGCCGTTTCCATTACCACTTTCAACGTTCGAAGATTTGAGAAATAGAATTAATCCAATCAGTGCCAATATGCTTCTTTTTCTTTCCATGTTTTCTCTCCCCCAACGTACACGTAGAAACTTTTTTCGAAAAACTAATGGCTGAACTATTCGTAAACCTGTTGAAGAATTAGTATACACGATTGCATTGTTTATCAGGATCTATGGTGTAATGCTCCTGACACCACGAGATAGAAAGAAACAGAGAACCGACGAATCGAAATATGCGTTTCCTTATCGGTAGAATTAGACAAAATGCGGGACAAAACGAAAGTGGGTTGAACATTGTTTTATATAGCAAGGATCGTGAATTAAGAAGAATCCCGTTAACTTAGTAACACTGTCCATATGGATGGACACAAAACATATATGATCTTTGTATGCGTGGTACGTATAGAGCCACTATGTAGGGCATAGTATAGCAATAGTGATCACGCAGCAACCGCGAAACGTGCTCAGCGTATGTTAACATTCCCGAAATTATAATTATCGATTTAAGAATCATAGATTTGTATCTTGATCAGCAGGGAATTACGAATAAGCATAGTGTAACGATTATCCGAAGTAAATAAACCATTTATTTTGTAGTACATGCATAACGCTAAAGCAAATGCATATACATAAACACATTTTCGTTATCATTTGTCTAGCACGAATTTCATTTTGTTCGAATCCAATTAGTAAATCGTTTTTGCTACAATAACAATAACTTTTCTTCCCAAACACCATACGTAGTGCGTAATACGCACGCATCCACGCACGCACACTCCCTGACATGTTCACGTAAGTACATATCGTTGACAATCGTTTCTTGTTCGTTTATTAATAAGGAGGAAAAAATTTCGAAGCAACGGAAAGACAGACTAAGAAAGTAATGTAACGTATAATACAAATTTTGTACGTCATTTCGTACGTTCGTACATACGTCTATGTGTAGAATTCTGTTGGTATTCCCAGATCAACATCAATACGTGCGTTGAAATCACAATAGAACGAAACTCGTTTGACGAATCGAATTCTGAACCACCGAATTAAATAATCATTTCGCATACGTTGCCCGTACGCACCGTTAAGCTATGTAGTAAATTTGGGTCGTAAGTAAGAAATACAATACAACGTGATTTTTCTTTCTTTCTTTCTTTCCTTATCCTTTTATCTTCTACTATCATCCTTTTTCTTTTTTTTTCTTTTTTTTGCCATAGTTATTCCCTCTCTCCTCACCGTCATCTTCATTCTCCCCTATCTACCTGCCCCCCCCCCCCCCCCCCCCCCCCCCCCCCCACCACTAGCACCACCATCGTCGCTATCACCACCGCCGCCGC